TGCCCCGTGCCATAGTGGCCTCCCGATGCCCGCCCACTTCATTCCACATACCGTTCAGGCATCAGCAGCGCTGCTGGGTGTATGCTCAGCTGTTATGCGATTTTGCTGTTATGCGATTTTACCACACTCGCAAAATCGCACACAGCCAACCATATAACAAACTCTGTATTTTGAGTGGAAATGTTAGGGGGTCGTCTTATACGCCGAGTCGTCTTATACGCCGGCAAATACGGTAATAGTTTTGATTTGTGTTATTGTTGCCTATTTATTTTTCTAGATCCTGCAGTACTTAAAGCTATCATGGATATTGGAAATGAAATTAGTATGAAATATTACCAAATTTATTTCTTAAACTGTATCTTAGAAATGTTATAAAAATTGACTAAAAGTAGTTATACATGCTGCATTGTTTACTAGAACAGTCTAAAATCATTCAAATCTCACAGTAACACATAAAATACAGGCTTCTATGTCCAACAAATAGCCCCTCCTCCCCTCCCCCTCTCCCCCTCGCCTCCATTCAAACTATGGTTCTGGTCAGGAACCTGCTAAGTTTAACAGCAGTGTCTTCTGTTTTGAAGATGACAAACAAGATATACAAGTGGAAGGAGAGGCTGAAGAGAAGGAGGAAGAAGAGGAAGTGAAGAAGGAGAAGCAAGAGCTTAAGAAGGAAGAGAAGGAGGAAGTGGAAGAAGATGATGACCAGGACATCATGAAAGTCCTGGGCAATTTGGTGGTAGCCATGTTCATTAAGTACTGGATCTATGTGTGTGGAGGAATGTTCTTCTTTGTCAGCTTCGAGGGTAAAATTGTGATGTACAAAATCATCTACATGGTGCTGTTTCTGTTCTGTGTGGCCTTGTATCAGGTAGGTAAACAATTGTCCTCTATTTTTTAATCCTCATACTCAACCCAGGAATATATGTGAGTTTCCTTTAATGAGACTTAAATTTACCATAATCTGACAAACATATTGTATAATTGGTATGCGATTCAAACATTACATATTAAGAATTCTAAAATGGGAAGTGACTACAGCTTGTTCATTATTTTAAATTTTTAGGTTCTTAAAAAGTCAAAAAAATGTTCATGAGTTTTTCAAAAATTCTTGATTAAAAAGAAGCCTGTATAATTAGATTAATTTTGAATAGTAATTTAAGAACAGTGGCTGGATAATCTAAAATACTGGATGATACTTGTGTTTCAGACTTTGGAATCAGAAAACTGTGTGTGTGTGTGTGTATGTGTGTGTGTGTGTGTGTGTGTGTATGCATAATGCATCAACTGCTTTAGTATTTCATTAATTTATAAGAGATTATATCATAATTAATTATCCTCTCCACAAATTCAATTTCAACTGATGATAGAAGTTTTAACCCAATGATAGAATAAGTGCAACAGTAAAATATTCTTGCAGGCAACCAACAAAACATACAAAGCAACTATAATAAACAGGAGTATATTACAAGTGGAGATAAAAATATCTCAACTGAAATCAATAAAATTTTGAAATACTTTTTAAAATTCGGGATAGATGTTCTCTAGTGAATATCTACAGGCTTATGGTAAAGAAAGATGCCTTCTCTCTGTGGTGATTTCCCATTTTTAATCGTACCACTTTGAATTTTAAAACTGAGACAGTTTTCTCTCAGCAATAAACACAATGATGAAGGCATCTACCATACCATTCTTTGAATGACTCCTATAGAACAGAGATTGTGCTGAGAACCTTATAAATAGTATTATTTCACCCTCTTAACTCTCAAAGTAGGTACTTATGGAGGAGGAAGCCAAAGCTCAGTATAGTCCAACGACTTGTCCAAAGACACGGTTAGCAACTTCTGGTAGTACTGGAGTTCCTATCCAGATCCATGCAACTCTATGAGGAAAAGAATCGCAAAAACTCAAAATGAAACAGACTTTATTTTCAAGTATTTGTAAGCATCATTACCTGTCTTAGTTGAATAAACCAGATATTTTTGTGAGCTTTCCTCTAACCATTTTTTTTTCTTATTTCTCTTTCAACATCTGATTCAGGTGCACTATGAATGGTGGAGGAAAATTCTTAAATATTTTTGGATGTCTGTGGTTATTTACACTATGTTGGTGCTTATCTTTATATACACATATCAGTTTGAAAATTTCCCAGGCCTGTGGCAAAATATGACTGGATTGAAAAAAGAAAAGTAAGTAATTTTGGTGTATGATAGGATCTAAAATGAACAAAGAGGATTGCACATTGTTCAAAACATTTTTATGGAAAATTTTATTAAAACATGATGTCATCAGTGTCTATAAGTTCCTTGAGAACAGGATTCATGTCTTAGTCATTTTGAGTTCTCTCAATCTAGCCCTGAACTTGGCACATAGAGGGACTCCAGGAATACTGACTAAAGCAAATTGACCAAAAAGTGAATTTTCAGTCCTATTTTAATGAAATGGCATTTTCTAATGTCAGTTTTATGTGAAACATATCTGCTTAGTACCTAGCCAGTTATGCTCTGCTTTCCAAATTGGAGCTCACTTCTTCAGTTCATCAATGGATTCATAGACTCATAATATAAAGTTCCAGCCTCTCTTCATTTACGTACCTTGTGCTAATATTTTAAAGAGTAGTTGATGCCATAGAAAAACAAATTTCCTTAAGTGCTTAAAGACTAGTGACGATGAAATAATTTTTCCTGTGCATATAATAGTGCTCTACCCTTTCTAATTTGCTTCTGTAAATTTCTGAAATTAGTTTAGAAATCCAACCTGAATTGGGTATAGAGCCAAGTATACTTTGGTGGCTAAGAGAAAAGCTTAACAGGAAAGGATCATCAAGTAGCTAGATTAACACATATTTAACATTTATTCAACAAATATTTATTGAATGCCCTCTGTGTGCCAGACACTGTTCTGTGCCTGAAAACACAACAGGAAGCAAGACAAACTGAATCTAAGCCCTTTGGAGTTTATTTTCAAGTAGAGGAGACAAACCAAAAAATCTACTTAGTGCTCAAATAAATTAATAAATTGTGACAGGTCTGTGAAGGAAACAAAAACAGGCTGAGGTAGTAAACAATGAGGGATGCTAAGCATAAATGGAGTGATCAGGGCAGGTGAGAAGGTGCCATTTAAATACCACCGGAAGGACAAGAGGAGCTTCTCTTTAGAAAAAAATGTGTGAGTTGGAAGCTGGGATGCCCAAGAGTATTCCAGGCTAAGAGATCAGCAAATGCAAAGGCCCTGGGGTAGGACAGAGTATGGCACATAAGAGGAACTGAGGGAAGGCTCTCCTGCCAGGAGAAAGGGGGAGAGTGGAAAGAGAAGAAGTGGGAGAGTTCAGACAGGCACCCAGAACATGCATCACTTATTGGTAGTTGTGGTTGATATTTCATTCTTGGTGAAATTTTTAAAGGTCCTTAACACACCCTGACTGGCTGAGAAAAAGTGATGTGTCAGGAGGCAAGACAAGCAATAGAAAAAAGTCTTATCAGAAATGATGGTGGCTTCATCTAGAATAGGTGGCAGTAGAGATGGATAACAGAAGTGCACAGATTCAAGAGCTATTTAGGTGGTGAAGGAAATGTGGATGAATGAGATGTGAAGGCAAAAAAAGAATTAAGGGAGATTTACTGATTTTGGAATTTGGCACAGGATAGACGGTTGTACCAGGGGAGACTCCAGTGGGGAGAGGAAGTGGAGCACAACTTGGCTGAGGAAAATAGGGAAACCAAGAACACTGTTTTGAAAACACTAAATATGAAATAACTACGAAACAACCAATTTCTGGTAGACATTTGAGTATGCAAGCCCACAAGAAAAGCCTGAGCTATCAATGCACATTTGAGTCATTGGTGTGATGATGGTGTATAAGTCTCCAGGAGGAGGTGAGATTACCTAGAGGAAAAATAAGCTAGAGAAGGACTCAACACTGAGCCCTGGGGGTATTTCAGCATCTGGAGGTCCAGTAGAAAAGGTGGAGACAATGACAGAAGAGGAAAACCAGGACAGTGTGGTGGCATGAAGACCAGGATTATTTCAAGGACTAGAGGCAAAATTAAAGATAGAGAGAAGCAGCCACTGAATTTGGCCGTATCGAGGTTGTTATGACCACTGTAAAAGCGGGGAAGCAAGTCAAACTGGAATGTATGGAAGAAGGGGATGCAATATATCATGTATCTGGTGAGGGTGAAAGACTATGGTGTAATTTATAGTGAAGAGAATGTGTGTTCATTACTTAAGAAAGATCCTTGCTATTAGTTTTGTTTTGTTTACAGGCTTGAGGATCTTGGCTTAAAACAGTTCACCGTGGCTGAACTATTCACTCGCATATTCATCCCAACCTCCTTCCTGCTGGTGTGCATTTTACACCTTCACTATTTCCATGATCGGTTCCTGGAACTAACAGACCTAAACTCTATTCCCAGCAAAGAAGACAGCGCCATCTACAGGTGAGCGAGCTCGAGAAGCACATGCCTCTTGCTATCAGGAAGGCAGCTTTAATTCCCTACCTTCCCTTGGCTGCCTTGCAGGAAGCCAATAATCGAAGTTAGGGTTTCAGCCTTGAACTTCCATGAGCATCAACCAACCTGTGAGTGGAAAAAATGTGAGATATTTGATGACATTTTCTGAAACAATTGGTAATGACTTATGACTGATTAACATAAAGTGACTTTGATAGTCACTGAGTAAATTCAGAGTTGCTGCACAGACCAAAATACTTTTGAGTTGGTGATGTATATTTTGTGCTTAGGATGATGATGTGTTTTAGGATATTTACAGAATCTAGCTAATTCAAAGGATGAGTTTTCTATTGCACTGACAACCAGTAAGGAAGTCATTGTGAGTGAGAGCATATACCACAAGATGATGGGTGGAATTTTCCCTTCCATTTTGGAAATAAAGAACCTTAGATAAAAGGATGTAATTTACAATCTACAAGTAACCACAATAATGTTTAAGAAGAGAAAGCAAAGACAATGTCTTCTTTTATCAGCACTCTGTTTTTGTCTTATAATCAATAAACATAAATGTTTACAAGTAACAGATGGGATATCGCTCTCCCTGCCCATGTGTGTTGAACGCACAATGGATTATTGCAGATTCCTCAATCTGTTGTACCCCAGGAAAATCACCATCATTCTTCTAATGAATGTTAATACTGATTTTCTTCTCTGCTTTATAGTTAGCCCATGATTCAGTTTTTGGAAAAATACATATTCAGTAACTAAGGAAGCCAATGGCTGTATTAAAAAGAGTACAGATGCCTCAGTTGAAAATTCCCCTTAACTCTTTTTTCAAGGGAAAAAAAATGAGTACATCAAAAGAAGATGAAGTAGTATTTCATCATTCACATTTTATGAAATATCAAACTTTAATTTTCTGCTGTAGTAGGAGCTGGAATTATGGATAACTCCAAAATACTTTTGTTTCATAATGTAAAACATTTTATAATGTTTATTTATTTATGACCAGCAGGTTTATTTTCCTTGTTGTATTTTGTTGAACTTAAGGTTACATTTAGTTTTCATTCAGAGTATGCTCCAGATGATAATCAGTTTTTTCAATGGCCCCAATCAATAGAACCAAGAGGCCAGTCATTATTATTATT